AACCTCTCGTCCATTTCGCAGTTTGAACCGCCTTTCACCCTCAATTTCCTCTTCATTTCCTCCCTTCGCTTGTGATTTTTTTGCCCGAATCTGATTTCTGCCTTCCGGAGATTCTTCAATTGTGGGGCTAGCGGCTGTGTTGGTCATGCCATGAGCTTCAGCCTCCGGCTCAGCATCAAGCGCGGCGGTCCGATCAGAAACGGCGTCGTCGGGGAAAATAACTCCGACTCCGTCGTTATATGCCGCCTTAAAACTAGGACCTTTGCCATGAGCTCGAACACCGCATAACTGAACGGGCTTGGTGAAAGTCCTAGGGTTTGTAGCCAATCGGGAGATGAAATAGTGCTCGCCACTCAGAAACGAAGGCTTAGAGATTGAGCAAAAGCATATGCTCATGATAATTCGTCTTATCTACTGAGTTGCTGTAAATTCGAATGATGAACGCAGTCTTCACGTGTCACATAGAGAATACCATTTCTTGGTACCATTGTAGTGAGTTTAATTCGAGAGGTTTGTTTTTTTATGAATGAAATATATTAATAAAACTATTAAATATAATTTAAAAAATAAAATTATTTAACAAAATAGATAATTTTATTAATGTATATTTGTTAAAATATATACAGAATAAAAATCAATTAAAAAGGAATATAAGAATTTTAAAAAAGAAAAAAACTGTGCCCTAATATACGCTTTTAACAGCCGAAAGCTGACATGACAATTCTTTTTAACCGTCACCGAGAAATCTGACTCAGCACACAGGAGCTAAATCATCATTTATTTCTGGGCAGTTTATATACACCACATTTGATTTTTTGACAACCCGATACACGAACTTATGTTGGCAAAAAGATGCCACATCAGCATTGCTTAATTTAATTTTAATAATAATAATAATTATAATAATAATAATAACAATAATAACTCTACAACTTTTAATTATAAAACTTATACATAATTTATTTATTAAATATGTAATAATTACTTTATTAAATATGTAATAATTATGATATTAAAATATGTAAATTAAATAAATAGATAAATAATACTACATAAGTTTTTTGGAGCTTGGTTGTTTTATATACTAGATTGCGAATGTGTTGTCTAGTTTTTTCTAGCGTAAGGTTTTAGACGATCTTCGGATTTCTCCTCTCATTTTATTCGAGTTTTTAGTTGACGTGTCAGCTTTGGGTTGTTTCAAGTTTGTATGTTGTGCGTTTTCTATAAAAATTTATCATTTCGTAAAATATATATATATATTATTACTATTATTTTTTTCCTTTGCAACTGCGGGCAAACAACAAAACAATTGGGTTGAAAAGATGACTATATACTCTGAAAATTAATTAGTCTTAGTTTATCCCTCAACTTGATGTCTTAATCAGCAATTCTTTTGTTTCTTTACGTGAAATCTCATATGTGTAATTATTCAAAATGGTTAGTTAAAGATTTTTTTTTTTTAATGAATACATAATTACAAACAGCTAACTAGCCCAATGAACCAGTAACAAAGTTGAATCCAGATTGGAGGTCAACACATCAGTAACCTAGAATCATCTACACTACAAACTCACATACAAGCATTGTTTTAAAAATGGGCCTAGGCACTAGGCGGCGGTGCGCCACCGCCGATTTGCTAAAATCGGCCAGAAAAATCTGACGGACGGGCTAGGCGGGCCTAGGTGGTCACGGCGCCTACGCGGTTTCGGCGGGACTAGACGGTTGAGGCAAGTTCTCGACGTCTTTGACAGATTTTATTTTTTTTATTACTAAACGNCAAACGACGTCGTTTAGTTTGAATCTTTAAAAAAAAAAAGTGTTGAGTTAAGACTTAAAAATAAAAAATAATACAACAACAACAACATACCCAGTATATTCACAACAGGTTGGGGTCTGAGGAGTCAGTTGTACGCAGACCTTACCCTTGTAATTATACAAGGAGGCTGTTTCCGTAGCGACCCAAGGTGCATTGCGCCCTTTGATATATTTTTTTTCTAGAAACTTCACTAATAGAAGAAGCACTAGAATTTAATTGAGCCATTTTGATCTAGTCCATTATTAGCACTATGCCAGGAAAACTGTCAATAATGACTCTTCCAGCTCCATTTGCAATGGACATAACTTAAAAATCAAAAATACATAAACAAATTCACAATTACAATTTACAAACAAAAATCAGAAGTAGAACAAAGTGAAACTAGAAACCCTCGTCGACCACTCTCGTTCATTGGCCTCCAGTTTCCATCTACTTGCACCGGACCGCCTATCTCCGTCGAAGTTCGCCCCTCATCCGCCAGTCACCATTACTCAACAGCCTTAGGTACTATTTTAGACTCTAGTCTAGTCCTTTAGTTGTAACCTGTAAGTTCTGAAAGTAAAAACTGAAAAGAGACACGTTAAAGGCTCTAATGAAAGTTTAAACGTAATAGAGTTAAAGTTGTAATTTCAATTTTCAGAACTTAGAATATAGATAACATGCCTCTTTACCATTACTCAGCTACAGGACTTATGGCATGATTGGGATAATGGAATAGAATTTTATAAGAACAGAATGAGTTGAAGAATGAAATGAATATGGGAAAGGAATGAAACCAGTTTTCCCATTGATGTGTTTGGTATGCAGAAGGAATACGACTTGAATGGAATGATTATATCATTCTATATTATCATTTATCACTATTTTATATAAAAAAAATTAATATTTATATTAATGTTACTTTTTTTTTACTTATGATAATAATAAAACTATTTTTTTTTAAAATTACTATATTTTAATAAATATATTTTTGTATTTTTACACTCATATATATTATATAATAAATTAGTGAATTGTATATTCATATATGTATCAGCTAATATAAATATAGCACTACATAAACCCCAATAAGCACATGTAGTCGAATATAATTTTTTATATTAAAATTCAATTTATGAATAAATTTATATTATATACGATTTATAAAAATAAAATAATAATGTTTTAAATTATTTAAATGCATTTTTAGTTTTATTTTTATATAAGATGGTTTAGGAATGTGCGTAGGAGAGACATAAAAACATTAGAATTGAGAACGTAAATCAAAATTGGGAGGGTAGTCCAAGAAAATTGGAAGGAAATAATAAGAAACAATTTTAAAATATTTAAATTTGAATGTGGATATGTGTTTTGATCGAGCACGATGGCGAGCCGGCGACATGCGGTCCATATAGTCGACCCCACTTAGTAAGATTTTAACGGCTTGTTGTTGTTGTTGTTGTATAAGTATTATATCTAATTAAAATATGAACAATAAACAAAAATAAGTTTTAAAATTTTTTATTTGAAATTTATTTTTGGAATTATTGCATTTAATAAAATTTAACCATAATTTATAGTATATATTATATATTTATTTATTATTATTATTTATTAATTTTATTTTTTAATAAATTGATTCCTACTATTGGAATGGGAAAAACCTTGCATTTGGTGTGGAGTGGCTAATCCCATGGAGATGGGTTTTGCAATTCCCATTGGAATGGTCATTCTTTTCCAAAAAATATACCAATCATGGGATAAGGAATGAGTACGAGAATGAACATTCCATTCCCATGCCATTCCCTCATACCAATCATGCCATTAGAATTTAAGTTTTCAGAGGTTACAGGTACAGAACTCTAATTCTATTATGTAAGTTCTTTAAGTTGTGAAAATAAATCAGTAATGAAATAAATACTAATGTGTAAACTTTAAAACATGAATTTAGTTGGGTGCTATAATTCTATCATGTTGTGTAATGTTTAAACTTTAAAACATAACATGTAGATAATGTGTTTGATGAAATTACAATGAGAAGAACTTAGTAGAAATTTAAAACTTTAAATTTGAAAAATGAAAAAAAAATGATAGTAGTATAATTTTATGTTCATTGTGCCTTTGTGTTCTTTCTTGCAACAACCTTATTTATGTATTTTTCCACTTTTTTGTTTTTAGGTTTTCTCAATAGCATGTGCTAGTAGTTCGGCTTCAAAAAGTATTCCGTGCGATTCCCGGACATCCACTGAGATTGAGACTGATTCTCTACTTAAAAGAAAGTCGGATGACATAGGTTGGAATTATGGTGTTCTAGCCGATCCACATAACAAAGATAAGGTTAAATGCTTGTTATGTGAGAAAGTGATGTCGGGCGGTATACGTCGATTGAAAGAGCACATTGGTCAAATTTTTGGGAATGTTGTTTCATGTAAGAAAGCAACAAAAGATGATCAAGCTAAATGTAGAAATGTCATCAACGAGTCCAAAGCAAAGAAGGTGAAGAAAAAAGAACTTCAAGAAGAGTTGCTATCTTCGGTTAATATTAAAGGGTCGAATTCCTCTCAACAATGCCAAGAAGCTCACTCTCTTGGCCCAATGGATAGATTTGCTACATCTATCAACCCGAAAACATCATTGAATGTGGCAAACACAATGCGGCAACAAAACATTTATGATGCTATTTGGAAGGAATGATCCAATTTGGTGAAAGATTATTTAATCGATTGGGTTTATGAATCTGGCATATCTTTCTATACACTTGATCTCGATAGCTTTCGGCTCTTTACCGAAGCGCTCGGTCAATTTGGACCGAAGTGGAAGCCTCCTAGTCAATATGAGGTGAGAGAGCCATTGTTGAAAAAAGCGGTCGAGAGAACCAAACTCAAAGTGAAGCCTCATGAAGATGATTAGAAGATGAGTGGTTGCTCGATTATGACGGATGCTTGGAGTGATAGAAAGAGAAGAAGTATCATGAATTTGCGTGTGAATTCTAAATTCGGAACAATGTTTCTCTCTTCCAAGGAATCTTCCGATGTATCACACACAAGTGAAATGATATTTGAGTATGTGGATAAATGCATTGAACAAGTTGGGCCCGATAATGTTGTTCAAATTGTGACGGACAATGCTTCAAACAATATGGGAGCGGCAAAATTATTGCGCACGAAGAGACCAACTATCTTTTGGACTTCTTGTGCTGCACTCATCATGAATCTCATCTTGGAGGGCATTGCAAAACTACCTCGGTTCAACAAAACAATTGAACAAGCAAAGACATTGACCATATTTATATATGCGCATCATAAGACCTTAGCCATGATGAGGTCTTACACTAAAAGAAGGGACATAGTAAGACCCGGGGTCACACGATTTGCCTCTTCTTTTCTTAGCTTGCAAAGCTTGATGGAAAAGAAGACAGGGCGATGTTTTCTAGCTCCGAGTGGGATGAGTGCAAATGGTCCAAGACGATCGAGAGGAAAGCAAGTTACAACACCGTGATGTCTATTGCTTTTTGGAACGGTGTGAGATCTTTTTTTATCGATTTTTTCTCCTTTGGTGAAGGTTCTTCGTATAGCGGATGCCGATAAAAAGCCATCGATGAGTTTTTTGTATGGGGAGCTTATGCATGCCAAAGAGGATATAAAAAACGTCTCGAACAATCTTGCCAAGAACTATGAACCCATCTTAGAGATCATTGACACGAATGATGGGTAGACTGGACACTCTGTTGCACTTGATGCAATATCTACAAAATCCTTATTATCATTATAAAGACCCGAATATCATACTAGATCAAGTTGTTTTGGATGGAGTTCTTGATTGTCTTGATGTCATTTGCCATAGTGATTTTAATTTGATGAATAAAATCATGAACATTGAGTTGCCAATTTATAAGATAAGGGGAGGAGTCTTTGGAAAGCCAATTGCCGCAAAAGGTTGTGAAGCGAATGACGAAAAGTTTAATCTGGGTAATAATAATTTTTTTTTTGTTTATTTTTGTTTTGCCTCCTATGTGATAATTGATATGTCTTAGAAAATTATATTTATTTTTTTATGAGTAGTCTTAAACTTGTCTTTAAAGTTTAAATGACTACACAATGATTTTGTTTTCATATTACTTTCAATCTTTTTTTTTTCATGCATAGCTACTTGGTTGTTAAATTATGGGTATGGAACGCCTAATTTGCAAAGAATTGCCATAAGAATCTTTTCATTAACCACAAGCTCGTCCGGGTGCGAAATGAATTGGAGTATATTCGAAGGGGTTAGTTGGATTTATTATGTATAAATTGTTTTGTTAATTTTTGCATATTATATAATATTGTTTTATATACTCTTCAGATACATACGAAAAAATGGAATCGGCTAGATGTTTCGCGCTTGAACAATTTAGTTTATGTCCAATTCAATTTGCGTTTATTAAACAAACGCAAATGGGGGAATAAAAAAGATTTGTTACTTGCTATTGAGGCAAGTAAGCACAAGAGTGGATTATTCCGGGATTAGTGGACGATGAAGATGAGGGGGTTGATGGACTTGAAGTTGAGGATGACACATCAAGAGTGAGAGTGCTTGAGGAAGAGGATTTTGAATCCGAGGAGGAGGAACAAGTTAATGAGAATGATATTGACTTAGAGTCGGACGAAGAACGTGTATTGGAGAATTATGGGGAAGAAGAAGAAGATCCTTTTGTGCTTGGCAATATATCTTAGTTCTTAGAAGTGTTTTGGATTTTGGTCATGTGGGTTATTTTGAGACTTGGATTTTGTATTGAGTTTGTTTTGGACTTGGAGTTTATTTTGAGATTGTGGTTATGTGTTTAGTAGTTTTAATGTAGTTATGTTATTTGGACTTGGAGTTGATTTTGAGTTTGTTTTGGATTTGGATTTGGCTTTAAGATTGTGCTTATGTACTTATTTTGGCTTGGAGTTCGTTTTGAAATTGCAGTAAGTACAATCTTGTGGTCATGTGGGTTGTTAATTATTATCATGTTTTCATTATAATATTATATTAATAACATTATTGGGACTTAGGTGTATGGATTTATTAATTATAAGTTATAATTTCATTAGTGAAATTGTGAAAATAAATAAAAAATAATATATTTATTATAATTTCTAGGTCCCGACTAGGCGTTGGTCGAGCGCCTAGCGACTTCTAAAACACTGCCTACAAGACTAAAACAACACTAAACACTAGAATACTAGAAATACTAGAATAACACCCTCCCCCACCAGCCAATAAAACACTCCGCAACAACACCACTAAATCGACACCCGGAGGAAACTACCCGCAAGGACAGAAACCCGCCTCAAGTCACAGACCCAGAAACTCAAGTACCTCTACGACTAACTAGATTCGAACACCGGACACGATTCCTCTCCCAAATGGACAACCCCCACACCAACAACAGGAGACACGCACCAACCTCCACTCCCCACACCCACTAGCGACCATGGGCCAAAAACCCGTCCAGAGCCGCAGGGGAGAGGAAGACGCTGACCGTAGCCCCGACCACTCCAAGCGGGACGACCGGGGCCAACCACTCGATCTCGGTGCCATTAAGGATTAAGTAATTTTTTTGAACCGAGTTAGACCAAGTTAAGTAAGAAAAAGTAGTTCCAGACTTAGAAAAATTATCCGAGAACCTTAGATAAATTCAAGTAAGAAAATTAATTAACTTAGCGTTAATTAAAAGTATGTTCGGCAAGCCATTAAAAAGTTAGACAAGAAGATAAGATTAAAACTAAATAAGTCGAGCAAGAGAACAGTTAAGTAAAAACATAAAAATAAAGAAAAGATAAAGATTTATTGACTAAGATAATTAATAAGTTATAAGAAGTCAAAGAGCCAAGAATTATAAGTTAAGCAAAATACTTAGAAATATTTGCTTAAATATTTTTGTAGCTTGAGGAGAGTCGAGCCTCCGCCAGCTACAAGCATCCTTTCCAGCACTTGCGTTATTAGCCTAACCGGTGGGGACCCCGTATTGGGTATTACATTGCCTATAATCGCTTATCTTGTCTTAGGTATGTATGTAAGTAGATTGTGATCTGGATGGATCAGAGATCCTGTCCTTTACTGGCAGAAATCCTACGTCGAGCATCGTAGGAAAGATCTGCAGTTCGAGGTAGGCGTTACGGTTTCTTGAATATCTCACCGTAGAGAGGTGTTATCCGATGCGGGAAGAGAGGGAAGCTGTAGCCGCGCTCAAAGAAACCTGACATAGCTGACCAAAGAACAACGACAAAATACTAAACATGGAAGAGGACGACGGTGCCACAAGAGACGAGAAACACAGCCCAATGACGGATGACACCATGGCGGTGCGAAGCACCTGACTGAGAGGAGCACCGGCAGAAGAAGGGAGACGAAGTTTTTTTTTTTTTTTTTTTTTTGNGAAAGGGTTACTGTTCAGAGAGGGGAAACTCCAAGTTTTGAGTAACTAGGATTCAGTCATAGTTTTCACACAATCTTTTATTTCAAGTCAAGACTTGACTAGGATATTTTCAAAAATAAATGATGATATTAGATTTCCAAATATGATTTTCATTATTGAATATTGGTCTTGTTTGACTATTAAGTGATAGCCGATAACTGATATTGGTCTCATTTGACTATTTTGTGATAGTGAATAATAGATTGTCTAGCTGATTGTATAACTATTTAAAAAGAATGTTATGATGGCATTTTATTTTATTAATCATCTCTTCTCAAAACACTCAATATATTAACTTTTTTAGAATTAACGTTTTAAGCTAAAAAATCTAAATTTAAATAAATTCTTTATCAAACAAGTTAATCAGTGAATTTAACTGGTTAAACCTCTAATATGAATTCAATTCGATATTACACCAATCCGCTAACATCCAAACTCGGCCATTATTATCTCCTCGCATTTATCCATTTTCACTGTGTTCTTTAATGCATGGTTTATGCATGTATTTGATCTGTTTTCAAACAACTGCATATGCTATGTAATTCTAATTATAAATGGCATATATATCCGTTAAACTGATTAACTGATTGGGAGGAAAACGAGCAATAAGAAATATTTGACGAGGTTGGTTACAAATTTGAAGGTGTCTTAATATGAGAATAATCTGTTTATAAATCAAACAAAGTATTCTTTTATAAAATGCCTAAAAATCTGATGACTCCTTAACACGATTATTAAAAGCAGAGCCGGCCCAGGCCCAGAGCAGCCTGGGCAACGGCCCAGGGCCCAAATAAATAAAGGGGCACCACCAGCTATACATTGTACTATATATATGTATATATTCATAATGTTTGGGCCCAATTAAATGTAAAATTGTAATTAAAAGCGGCCCATATTCACTAATCTCAACACAAACTTAGCAACCTTACCTAAAGCCGTCCCCTTTAGTCTGCAACATCCCAGGAATTAAAAAATAAATATATATATATATGTAAACAAAAGCCCCAAAATTTGTGANATATATATATATATATATATATATAAACAAAAGCCCCAAAATTTGTGAAGACTACGAACAAGAAGGCTTATCATCTTCATCTCTTCCGTCTTCGCTCTTCCCAATGCCCAACGGCCAAATTCAGTCACTTCAGCATATTATTCTCGACTCTCATCCCAAAATTCAAACGGTAAGTTTATCAATTTTATAGATTATAAATAGACTTTTCAATCTTTGTTTTTTATATAATTGTATTCAACATTTCATCTTCAATTGCTTCAAATCAATCATCAGTCTTCGAGCAAAATTGTTAATTTGTTACTTCCAATAATTTTTGAGATCTATATATTTTGAATCTTTTATTTACTTTGGGAAAAATTGATCAGTTAAGAAATTAATCAATTTATTTTGTTATTTCCAAAATTGAATCTTTTATTTTTGCGAAAAATTGATCAGCAAAATTGTTAATTAAATTTGTTATGTTTACCTCGCCCCGTCGCTCGGCTGGCCTTTTGCCACAAGTCCACACCCGGACCTAACAGGCTAACATACATCAGTTCATCACTGTTGACCGTCGGCGCCTTCGGCCTTCCGCTGGGCCGCAGTCTCCCCGCCTTCACCGAGGTGATTAAGAATTTGGAGTCACTCGCGGCCAATATGACGCCGAACATTAAAGGACCCCTTCAAATTTGTTCGACCATAAAAAAAAAAGTACTTGGAGCATTATTTTTAAAATTTGCCCAGGGCCTCATAATTAATAGGACCGGCTCTGATTAAAAGTAGAAGGAATACAAGTCTAATGCCGTGTAGGAATAGACCATCAGATAAAACTGCTTCATACAAATACAAAATGCTGCAAATCAAACCTAGACTCCTCAGTATGAGTTAAAACAATCTACAAAACTAAATGGAAGAAATCTTTAGATATGAGTTTTAAAAATTTCTTCTTCGTCTACCTTCATAGAAAACCAGCTCAATGGATTGAATTACTTCATAGCAAACAGACAAAGGAACAGCAGCATTACACAAGTCTAGAGTTAAATTCAAGCAAGCCCTATTTTGATTTGCGTTACCTCATTTATAAGACTTATGAGCATAGATCCACCATTTTTGCTTGAGACAATATACAAACTACTGATACTAGATGCATAAATACATCAACATTAAGACATTAGCAACTACCAAATGTTTTGTGCCATGCGAAGCATCCAGAACACACGTAAAAATAAAGATTTTTTTTTTCTTTTTTATATTTTTCTGAATTCAGACGATTTTTCCTTTTCTTCCCCAAATGTTAGTAAGGGAAGAAAATTTTAAGGGACCTAGATTGAGGCAATATCACAGTTTTTCTCAGGAGTTTTAATCATCACACTTTATCGTCATGGAACCACCATCTCGTCTCCTTGGGAGATCGTCCGTTCTTACAGTTCTTCACGTAACGGTCGTTGTCAGCTGGTCGTTGCTGCATAGGCCCCGAATATCAATACATTAAATTTGGTTAACGTAGTAGAAATAGAGTGAATTAAAATAGAATAACAAAATACCAATGATTGGAAACCCGATATACCTTAACTGGTGAACTGGACAGCATAGAGAGAATGCTTATGCAAATTGAACTTACGGTCATTGCTGGGGACCAAGAATCGTATAGAATATCTGTAGATATAACATTTGGAAGAAAGAAATATAATAGTTTCAGTGACTTATCTGATGGACAAACTAGAGCTAAGGATTCAGATCTTTATCAATAGTGCTCTTAAATTGTCTAGGAAAAAATAGAAATAAATGAACGGGAGAACGCTAGACATATGCAATACTTCAGATGGACTTCTTATGTCATTGCATGGATGCATCTGCAAGGACAATAATAATCCAAACGTGCGTGCAAGGGGCCCACTCTGGACTATACCTTTATCACGTCAGTTCGTAAAGGTTATCTTTGTTTTAATGAGATATAAGGTATAACTAAATAAAAGATTTGCCTTCCATGTTTAACAAATTTCTACCGGTAGAACTCAGTACCTAAAACTTGCTCAAAATTACTAGACTTTCGGTTGTGAAAGAACACAGTATCATCTAGAGACAAATTTAGGTCAAGAACTAGGAAAAAACGAAAAGAAATCTTTTCCATAAGCCCAAGCCTCACAGCTTCTAGCTGAGAATGTAAATTTAGTTATGTCACGCAGCAGGGAGAGTACAAAAGCTTTACGACTATCCCTTCCAAAATTTAAATTCCTCGACTATAAAACTCTCCGCAATGGAAAAATCCACGATCACTTAATACTAACTCATGAACTTCCATAAATTCAAAGCACAAAATTTCAATTTTGAGACATCAGATAAAACATTGCACAATAATTTACTACAGTAACAAGAAGAGTAGACTAACGCTGTCTTTGAAACAAAAACCCAACAAAGAAAGAAACAAAAGAAGAACATAAACAATGCATAATTTTCCTAAAACACAGGTTACAGATATAAAGGTCTTCCAGGTATAAGATACACACCTAGACATATATGGCCATTGCTATAAATGTGAGGGTGCAGAGGAGCTGGCGGAACGAATATAACCTGCCCAAGAAACAACAAAAGATCTGACTACCTAAACAAACCCATAAGCAGCACATAGACTCCATGAGAGTTCCTCACAGCCACACTCCAAAATCCTCAATTTTGCTTGCAAATTCAAAGTCCATAACAAAGAGATTATACCTGTGGTGCTTCCATTGGGTAATGCTCGGGAAAATCAACCTGAAGCTGGTAAGTGTCCCCTGCGTAAAGTGTCCCCGGGGCACCGTTGACCTCAATGACCCATCTAATTAATGCCCAAAAGCTCAAATCAACAAATACTTCGCAAACCCAGACCAAAATCATTAACGAAAGCCACAAAAAATGAAACAATTACAGAACAAAGCAAGACCAAGGGACCTTTGGAGATTGTCAGTGACTTTGTGCTTGAACCCCGCCGGTGGGTTCACCTGCCACTCCACAAGCTCTTTCTGCAGCCGATTGCATGCGATCTTGCTCAAAGCCTTTATATCCCACCCAAAAATTTCAATTCCAAAACAAATTAATACAAACGAACAGAAGTAAACCAATCAATTAGCACATTGTACAGAACAAAAAAAAAAAAAATATCGAAAGAATTAAGTCATTAATAGAGGCGCGCTAACACGCAGACGCGCACGAATAAAAAATCGAAATAAATATTGATTATAAACAGTACCTTGCGTGTAGATGCAGAGGAGGTGGTCATGGTGTAGGGAAAAGCTCGGTAGAGAGAGAAAATTTGCAGAGGGCGAATTTAGTGAGGGGCAAAAACGATTGCTTTGGTGCTTGCCTGCTTGGTAGCTTTTTACCAAAGGCTTTTAATTATTATTATTAACTAATGGATGATTGTTGGTGATAATGATATGATTAATGATGATTATCAAAGTGCGTACAATTGAAAATGTGGAGAAATCGAAGGGTTTGACTGGGGCGTATTAATTTAGACGGAGATTTGTGTCCTGATTAGAAGGAAATCCAGATCTAACGGTCAAAAATCAATGTGATCCACACGTGTATGGCTGGTAACAGTTGCTGGTCACGTGACTATAGAAGTCTGGTGATGGAATGGTGACGTGCCCCACCCAAATCTAACACTATTATTAGTACTCGGCTTCAAATTGTTAACCTTTCTTTTCTTGCAAGGAAAAAATATTTTATTAACACATACGGATATCCTTAATATAAGGCTGGTAATTTTATTACCAAAAATCGAAAATTGATCTGAACTGAACCGAAGAAAAAATAAATCGAACTGAACCGACTCATTTGTAAACAGTGCCAATTATCGGCTACTATATTGATATATGTTTGGTATCAGATCCAAATCAATAAGCGTTCGATAAAACCGAACCGAACAAATAAAGATTAAAAAAGTATTAGTTTAAATTTTAAAATAATATTTACTCTGTTTTTTTTAGATGCCGTTTTAATTTAAAGTTCTAAATTATGATTTTAATGGGTTGTGTAATTATCTTATATACTAATCTTCTAAAAGTTTTAAATTAGTGTTTGAATTATTAATGGGTGATTTTTAAAGATAATGATAAGAGATAAAGTTTGTTAAAGGGAATAAAGTTGAAAGAATGAATAAAACATTTCCAACGAAAATTAACTTGCAAGAAAATTGACATCCTACAACGACATATATAAAAGGAGTAGTCATTTAAGTTACTTAATAGTCTTAGTTAAATATTAGCCAATTAAATACTTAAATTTGTTAAATAAAATAATAAATTAGACTATAATAATACATAACTTAATTAATCAATCTTATATAAACTTGCATGTCACATTATTAGTTCGTGAACTAAGAGAACGGAAAAAAATAAATAAATAAATTTAAAAACCAACCCCTCACGGCCTCAAACATCTACTGACAAAATTGCAGTTAAAGCCCTAGTTTATTTATTTATTTATTTATTTATTTTTAACAAAAGCCCCATACATGTAGTTATTAGTTAGAAATATTTTTGTAATGGCCACAATAATTTCACCATTTTGTTAACTACTTTGAGACCTTAACAAGATGATTGGATATAAAAAAATTTGGTTTTGTTTGAATTGTTTTTGAAACGTATATTTGTCACGGAGTGCGCTAATTGTAGTAAGAACCAAAGTAAGAATTGTGAAATGCGGAAGCAAACAACCAAAGAATAATTAACTCTTCGGGGAAGCGTCCCACTTCCCCTCAGAGCTCTTTCATTGATAGATCACTCATAAACATAGTTTGGACTTACAACGACTTGAACTCCCTTCAAATCTAGCCAACACTACTTGATCCTATCAACTAATTCTCCGGCCACGTCCCGTGGACTTATAAATCTACACTTATTCCCTAAGTGTACAAATCGTGAAATAGTTTTTGATGAAATGTAAAAGAACTGAACAAATGCAGTATCAGTCCTTGAGTTTGTAAGAACTCTTAGACTGTACTAAATACAATCAAAATAGAACAGTAAGCAAGTGAAGCTTGAATGGCTCTCGAATATTTCTCAGTGTGTCATCCACGGCCGCCATAAGCTTCTCCTAGGGTATATATAAGATCTCCTTAGGGTTGGAGTCTTCTACAAGGCATAGGACTTCATCAAGATTTCCTTCCAAGATAATAACATATCTTTGGTAAGTAAACCTTTTATTCTCTCTCCTTGATCTCCTCTCCAAGCATGTCTCTTTCCTCCTTCTTTATCTCACCACACGTAATTTCCTAGCATATCAAAACGGTAATAAGATCAACATGAACTTATATAAGGAAAATAAAACAATATTACATAAGGAAATATAATATATAAAGATCTTCCCTTTTATTCTGTGGTTCCAGGTGCTTGTTCGAACTAATCGAACTAATGCCAAAATAAAATATCTTTCAATCTCCCCCTTTGGCATCTAGTTCGAAAACATCAGACGTGAAAGTCTCCTGCAGCAATAAAAACAACAAGCAACCACAGATAAACTCAAGCAACGATTAGACCAACACATCTCAAGATCTCCTTAAAGTAGTTCTCCCCCTTAGTTCCTGCAGTCATCAAAGTTCAATAGAAAGCTGCTAAATTCATTTCAAACATAGACAGTAAGAACACCAAAACAACTGCATTAATTCCCATCAAACAAACTTAGTAACAAACAGCAAACAACCAGCAGCAAATAACAAGTTTTCTTACAATCCTCAAAACACACAAGGAAATAAAAACTAACTACCCCAAGCACTACTCCTCATCTTCAATTTTCTCAGTATCACCATCAGATTCTTCAGCATCCTTCTCACCGCTCTTACTCTTGCTCTTCTCCCCCTTTTTCGAACTACGGGATGCCGAAGGGCCTGTCCCCAAAGTCCGAGTTGATCCTTTGACAGCTTGAAGCACCTGCCGAAGATAGGCTTGCTGAGCAGCCACCTTCTTGGCTAAATCATCCCATTCGCCAAGTTGTTGAGCCACAAACTCACCCCAGTTCTTAGGAACCAAGAAAGGAGCGAGTTCCTTTGCAGACTTGGAAATTCCTTTCTCGTTCAGAGTGCGAGCACTAACAGAGAGTGCTTTCCGGGGATTCTCAAGAGAGTCTTGGAAGCGAAGGTTAATCGAGAAATTATGAGCCGATAGAAAGGACCAAATAAGGCAGGGAAAGGGAAGAGTTTTACGAGACTCATTGTTGGCAACAAAGGATTGAAGGATTTGAAAAACAAGGTCCCCAAAGCTGAAAACTTTCCCAATCATAACCCAATAGATGACTTTACATTGCAGCTCAGTAAGAAGGGTTTTGTTTGAAGTAGGGGTCCAGTTGCCAGCACCAATCTTGTGCAACAAATTAGCAACCAAGCAAAGAGAGTTCACAGACAGGTTTGAACCAGGCCAAGTATCCAACTGACCAGAGGTGAGAACTCTGGTCATTTCATCAGAATCAAGATCAACAAGGGAAGAACTATCAAGATCAGAGGGCAAACCAAGATGGGCATTAATCAAAGCGGGAGACACATCAATCACACGGTTACGAAGGAAAAGTTTATAATAACGAGGGCTAGCAGGATCAAACACAGCAGGAGTAAGGTTAGCATAAAATTCCTTAACAGCTTGGCCACAAAAGGGCTGCACGTCAGACACGGTCTTCGAAAGACCCACTTGCTCAATCAAACGAAGAACACCGAGTTCAGCAAACTTACCATCAACCACAGGATGTTCCGACCAGAACTCATAAGACCCAAAGTTCACAAAGCGTTCATGAGCTGCTTCGGTATAAAAACGATTGGTGAAGGTATTCTCCAGGTCATATGCGTCATCCTCAGGTTCAGGAGGGACAAGAGGCTCGTCGATGGCCTTCCCACGACGGCGGGTGGAACGACGAACTGGAACCTTCGTGGGTGGTGATGGCTGGTCAGAATGGACTTCAACAGTGGTAGCCGCCGTATCATCTTTTTCCCTTTCAGTGGTAGCCGTCTTGGTGACCGACTTAGTCGCAGAGGAGGGGACAGCAGATGACTCCCCCTGAGTGGAGACGGCTAGTGAGTCAACACGTCCAGAAAGTCCTGGAACTCCAGTGGCCAGCGGTGAGATTTCAAGATTCTTGCGGACATTGTCAGACTTTGACTGAGAACCAGACGAAGAAGAGCCTAGTGAAGCCGATTTTGACTGCGAAGATTCAGGTGACGGTTCTTTTGCTGGTGGCGAAGAAGCACGAGCAGATCCGGTTGACAAGGAGAGTCGGCGGCGCTTAAGACGCTTCTCTTTCTGCTTCTGAAGTCGTCTCTTAGCTTTGTCTTTTCCTCCAGCCATGGGAGAAGATTGACGATTGAGAGAAGAGGGATTTAGGGTTTCAATCGGAATGGGTGAGCAAAAGTGAGAGAGAGATAAGAAGGAACCAATAAAGTGGAATAAAATAAGAAGAACGTGTGTAAGATCGGTTAAGAGACGTTGGATCTTAGAAAACCGCAAAAGGTAGGTTCCGAATTTCAAGGTGGTAATGGGACGGTTTTAGGAGATAGAGAGAGAGAAACGTGAGAGAGAAAACCACAAGAATAATTAGCATAATTAATCCCTCCAATAAACCAAAATCAAACATACCATAACTTCTCACATCAATAACGGCTCGCATTATTTTGAAATTTAGGAAAGAAATCAGATTTTATCCATGAAGACGTCCTGCACAAACTCTTGGAACACGTTCAAAAAGGAAATCATATGCAAACATGCCTAATTATGAAAAAGGAATAAAAATCGCACACAATATTCACTAAAATCATAAGATCTTTTCTTTTCCAACTTAGACAAGAGTGACGGCAACAATCAGAGACCAACTTTGAGATTCAAACTTTATGAGGAACATACGGTAGACGAATATATGTATATACACAGAGTAGTGCGAACCACAACTTCCAATATATTTTTTTTCGAAAGAACACATGCATTATTATTCATAGTGCATTTCACTTAGTAACAATCACTGCCATAGTGAAAGTCGACCCCACTACTTTGCACTACAATTTTCAGCAAGGATCCCAAGGTTTTTTTTTTTTTTTTTTGAATAAACACACTACGGTTTTTATGAGGGTGACCACCTTATAACTCCACATAAGAACACCACATAGTAATATGTAGTGTGTGTCACTAGCTTTCGCTCTTCTCAACATTTTCTGTCCAAGACGCTCTTTTCACAGTCGATCCCGCTTTGGGAAACGAGCCATGTGCTAGCTATCGCTCTAGATCATTTATGAGAAGGCAGCTCTTTTTGACAAAGAAAATAAAAATACAGAAAGTAAATATGTTCCTCAATCTAGTAAGAACTCGCAGTCAGCCTAGAACTGCTAACATCACTCAGGTTTTCAGAAGGATCAGAACGTCAATTAAGAATTTAGTGGTGAAGAGAATGCA